AACTCATGAAATCTATTTCACGATGTATCCGACTCGTGACACCAACTCCGCTGTGAATATGACTCAGGACGCCAATTCCGTGATGTATCTGACTCGTGACACTAATACCGCTGTAAATCTGACTCGTGACGCCAATTTTGCGATGGATCTAACTCGTGAAATTAATTCTATGATGGATCTGACACGTGAAACCAATTCCATGATGGATCTGACTCGTGACACCAACTATGCTGTTAATCAGACTCGGGACGCCAACTCCGTTATGAATCTGACTTTTGCCATCAACTCGAATACATAATAGGTCCATTTTTTTATTGAATGTGCGACTGCTGTTAATCTGTGCTTAACTGCAAGGTGTTGTCTTCTTTTTCTGTTCTAATAAATTCACACTTCCAGTTGATATATATAAAGTATTTATTCACATTCCAACAATACGTATTTTTTTTGCAACTGCCCGTCAACCACACTCGCGTTCCTTCTACTGCCCTTGCTGTTACATTTTTTCATCCCCGTATAAGCATTCGCCTTATATGGAGTTACAGGAGGAGGAGTTATGGCAGAGCCTCTTGGTCGTGGCGCCTTCTATTGTCATTCACAATGACAAATAGTTTACAAAGGGCACCCCATATTGAATATATTTTGACTTACGTACCACTGACGATTGTGGCAAATACTATTCGAATATACATATTCTTCGATACTGATTCGAAGCAGTTCGTGCTTATAAAATCCCTTTCCATCGAGTTAAATAAGATTACAAATGTAATATTCCAGTAGGTCAGCTCTATGGCATGGCTTTTTAATTTTGTGATGGTGTTAATTTTTTTTACTCTTTTTTTTTTTTTTTGTATAAAAATATTTTTGTATTATTATAATTTTTTTTTTGTCATAAGAAATTTGCATTTATTCAGGCACAGTAACAGTAAAATATTACATAAAATATACATCGTAATTTTTATCCCTATCTTAGCTTAGTTTATTGTCATTCTGCTTTACTATTTACCTAAAATTTTGAAATGCGATAAAAGAAGAATAGGGGGAAAGAAACCAGCCCAAAAATACGATAAATATTTCATGTTCATAAATTAAATAATTATTTTCAAAAAATATCACAATTTTTAAAATTTTTAGTAAACATCTATAAAAAGAGAATTTTAAAATATTTATTGTCATGTAATTAAACAGAACAGTACTCATTTAATATTATATATTAAAGACTGCATTACCCTAATCAAAGATGAACAAAAAAGATTACTATGCATTATTTACTGATATACACTCAAGAGCCAAAACATTATGACCACCTGTCAATAACGTTTTGGGCCACCTTTGGCGCCAACACAGCTTCAACCCGCCTTGGCATGGAGGCCACAAGTCCTTGGTAGATGGCCGGAGACAGATTGTACCAGATGTTTAAGCAATGGTCACGCAAATCCGAGATATTGCGAATTGGTGGTCTTTGAACTCTGAGCTGCCATCCCAGGACATCCCAAATGTGTTCTATCGGATTGACATCCGGTGAGTTAGGCGGCCGGGACATTAACTGGAATTCAGCATTATGTTCCTGGAAGCACTCCAACACAATTTTAGCCTTGTGACAATGGGCGTTGTCCTGTTGGAACATTCCATTTCCAGCTGGAAAAACAGAGGCCATGTAAGGGTGCAACTGGTCCGCAATGATGTTCAGATACCCTGTAGCATTCATGGTCTGCTCTACCACAACCACGGGTCCCAGAGACGCCCAAGAGAACGTCCCCAAAAGTATAATACCGCCACCACCGGCCTGTGTATGACCTACTATACATTGAGGGAGCAACTGTTCGCCTGGAAGACGGCGTATCCTGACACGGCCATCGGCGTGATGAATGATAAACCGTGATTCATCTGACCAGGCAACTCTCTCCCACTGATCCATGGACCAGTCACGATGTTCCCGGGCCCAGCGCAGACGCAGTTGGCGATGACGCTTGGTCAGCAAAGGCACACGAGGGGGACGTTTGCTGCGTAGCCCCATATCCAACAGTGTCCGCTGAATAGTGTGCTCCTATACTATTCTACTTGGCCCTGCATTGTATTGGGCTGTCAGCTGAGCCACTGTCTGGCTCCGGTTTTGCTTCACCATGCAAGACAGTCTCCGACGACCTTTTTCTTTGATAGCGTGGGGACGTCCAACACCATGTCGTCTACTGATGGTTTCACCGTCATTCATCTACTTTGCATAAGTACTAACAACTGTAGATCGCGAACAACCCACGAGTCGTGCAGTCTCGGAAGTACTTGTTCCGAGCCTTCGAGCCATTACAATCTGCCCGCTATCAAAGTCGCTTAGATCCGCAGCCTTTCCCATCACACACAGAAGTAAGCGAAAGAATGATTCTTCAGACTCTCCAGCAGCAGTTAAATACCACTTCCACCTGATCACGTGCCTTCCACGTCATCCAGGTAAGTTCATTGCAAAATGTAGGGGTGGTCATAATGTTTTGGCTCTTGAGTGTATGCTTGTATGAAAATAATAAAAAATGTAATATAAACAGTTGCTATCGTTACTGCTTAACAATAATAAAATGAAATATAATTTTTAATAGGTGACTCATTGGTAAAGTGCACAGTTAGCTTGTATTCGTTGGTGCATGATGTATTACTATCATTGCATTGTATAATTCATAGCGGAGTATAAGATTACCGATTATTAAGATTAAGCGGCGATTACCGCCTGTAGTCATCAGGTGAAATGATATATCATATACCAATCATTACCAATTCAATACCAATTTATTCATATACCAATCAATCAAAAAATCACATTTCTATTTTAAAAATAAGTACTGTGAAAACAAAAGACATGATATTTTTCCGACGATTTTAAGCTACGTATTTGTTAAAGAGATGATTACTACATTTAATAATTAATATGGATTCCTGTACAGTGTTTTTAATACTTATTTGTAATCTAATTGATGTATTTGTTCATTACCCTTTCATCCACTTACACGTACCGATATTAGAAATATCGGTACTTTATTTATTTTTGAAAAGTTCGACACATTTCCATCGTCGACAACTGTTACGTTTTTTCCTTTATTTTTAGAAGATTGTTTATTTTTCTCCCACAAAAATTTCAGAAAAAGCATGTTCTTTATTAATTAGGAGGGGGTTTTATAGAATTGATTTTTATGAAATTTAGAGAATATTTGATTTAGTTTGTCGCTTCAAGGTCATTTTTTACACACTTTAGGCTAATTAGACTGAGACCTACAGTTTAACGTTGGTTTCAAACCACTAATAAACACCCATGCCAACTCCAGGATTCGAACCTGAAGCCTGAGATATCAAAGGCCAGAGTGCTAGCCAATTGACCATCAGGCCGCGAAACTTCAGGAGACAAAATGTCCGCAGACTATAATCATAACTAAGAAATTCTAAGGTGTTTAACTATAATCCGCTTATTATAGGCAAAAAATCACTGTAATTACTACTGAAAACACTCCCTCCCGAGTGGTTATGCCCTACCAACATCATCCGTCTATGAATTGTCCCTGAAATACGAGGCTTACCATAGCGATTAAAATAAAAAAAAAATACTACAGCCTCTCGTTATGCCAAGATACAAAGAAAAACACTGGAAGCGCAGAACAACAAGCCGCTTTTTAAATGTTCCATAGCATTTTCGCCTGTAAGCATGCAAAATATCCAAAGCATGAACCTATCGAGGGGTTACTTTAACATGTACATAATTTTGGCTCAATTCAGTGCTTGACTTGAACTCATGATTTGATGAAAACAAAAATAAAGTCTCATGATTTGATGTCATTCCAGTAATAATTTGTATTAGGTTGGAATCGTTTCTTACCTTGAAAAGGAAAAAAAAAAAAGAGCCTATCTTCAACTCAGCGGGGTGTTGAATGCAGCAATGAACAAATGGTGCAATTTTGTAACGACAACCACCTCATTAAAGTTTGAAAGTTTCATTAACTCGAACCCACTTGCATACCGCCTCAGGGAGTGCTTGTTCCTAATTACAGTAGCACCGTAATGACTGTACTATCCCCTGGAGTGCTCTTGAGTAATGCTGAATCTGCTACATCAGATAAAGGACGTTAAATAAACGGAACGATCTATGTTGAGTCTGTAAACTAAATTAACAAACTTAAAGAGGTGTAACATTTTATTTGTATGCAAGTAAAAGTGTGCAATGAAAGTCTGTTTAAAAACTGCATGCACAGTGATACCTTACATAGACCAGATAACGGATTTTCAGTACTGTTTTAAATAGGGCTAATCTAGAAACTAAGTATATGCAAAAACTGATAAATGTTTTTAAAATGAAGGTCTCTCCGTTTTCCAATAATCAACATGAGATTAAATTCAAATGTCTTTATTAAAACTGAATACGTGCGAAGAAAATTCATTTTTTTTTGTTCTTTAAAAATTTCAATTTTCCCTTCTTCTCACATTTTCTTTTTTTCTCTCTTGGTGAATTTTTTTAGTACAGGCCCACTGCATTGTTCATCGTTTGTTTTAAATTGAAAGGCTACATTCACTATTGGGATCAACGCGCATGATATGCTGTGATAAATTTTCGACACATCCAGCCAATCATTTAACATTAAAGATTTCAAACGTGTATTGGTTACACATGTATACACAATATGCCATAATTTATACATTAAAAACGTCGAAAGGGTTCGAAAGCAACAGTACCGCATATATATATTTCTTCAACGGCGCAACAGCATATTTCGAGACAGGAGGTGTTTTTAATATGCTTTTATTAGTTTCACCTGTATGTTTGTTTGTTTGTAACTGGCTCTTTGGGCACGATTTTGCCCTACTTTAAGCGTTGTAAGATTTAATTTAAACGCTGTAGACTTATCAAGGACCGACGACACTAAAATATTTTTGATAAGTTTATTATCTCATCATGATTAGGATCGCCAGGATTTGTGATTTTATTTTTAACTCATGTAGAACGAAAGTACCTAAGACATTCAAACCTGCGTGGGCCAGTGGCACAACGAATAACGCGCCTGACAACGGATCAGGAGATTCCCTGTTCGAATCCTGGCTGGCTTGACATATTCGCATTTAGCATTTATGTTACTCACAATTAAATTATTGTAAGAACTATAGTTCCAGTCCTCCGTACCGGGACCTCATTTAAATATTATAATTTAAAAACACTAAAAAACACGCTTTTAGAGTTAATCAAACTAAAAAGTAAAAAATAATTGTTAACATAAGAATAAAATGAACGTCACTGTTCTAAAAAGCGTGGGGTGCTTTGTATGACATTTTTAAACTATCTATGCATTTCGGAATGAAACTAGTGAAAAATTATGACCATTCATATCGTGCACCCCACGCTTTTAGAACAGTTAGAACAGTGACATTCATTTACTCGTCAGTAATTTTATTCCTACGTTAACAATTATTTTTACTTTTTAGTTAGATTAACTCTAAAACCGTGTTTTTTATTTTTAAACTATACTTTCCTACAAGTAGAATAGGCAGCCTTACGCCCAACGCTTGGCTACAATCATGTTAGACTGGGACCTATGGTTTCAAGTGGATTCCGAATCACTACAAACGTCGATGGAACCGACTGGACTGGAACCTGATACTTCTGGCACCGAGCGCCTCAATCATCAGGCACACATATATATATATATATACAAAAGAATGAAATTTCATACCACATAACTTAAAATATTTTTAAGATTTAAAACCGAACTCAAGTGAATTTATACTACGGAAGCGGATTATGTGACTTATTACTATATATAGTTAGGCCCGAACATAATACACATAAACATTACGTTTTATGAGGTCGTCAAAAGGCTAACAATAAAGTTAATGGTATACATAGCTAATGAATATGACTGTAAAATATGGGCGAAGATTTGAGTTTCGGACTTTCATGTAATGGAAAAGCTATGATGTTGATACATTCTGAATGGAATTTATACTTATTGATGAAAGCAACTTGAAAGTGGCACATAGAAGAAAGTTCAATTTGTCATTTAACCAAAATTCTTAAAGGGCTGGAGTAGAATAACAAATGAATGTTGTTGATAAAAGTTCAAAAGAAACTTTTACTGAAACTTCCGTTTAGAAAACCGACTGCAGTACAATTTTTATCTGCTATTCTAACATTCCTGTTTTTAATTGAATTTGATCGATATGCTTGTATTACAACGATCCATTTCTGTTTCATGGTCTATTGTGACTAAATGAATTTGAATTTTTCATATTCATGCATTACAATGCTTCAAAGATTATGTGGGGCTGTTGAACATTCTTGTGGTTATTGAACCTAGTTGATTTCGTAATATAGCGATAAGATTGATTATTATACAATGATAAGTTTGATCACTATGTAGATATTTTTGAAAGGCGCTGTGAAAGCAGATATATAACCGTGGTGTTTATTTTTGTCTAATGAAAACAGCATGTTTGCATATAATAAATTGAAACTCGTTGGCAAAATTCAATAATGAACTTCTGTATTTCAATATAAAATAATAAATAAACTCTCTTGATTAACTGCTTCTGTCACGATATATGACAGCATGATTGTTTTTAAATCTCTATCGAAATAATTGTTTAAACCTGTTTAAATCTCAAAACAAAACCATCTATTGGATTTTGTTCCAGCAACATCTAAATCTGTTCTATCTGCCTAAATACAATTGTTTAATGTTTTTTATAAAAGATTATAAAGATTTTTTGAACATACAAAATTTTTAATTTTACTATAATAATGTTTTTCTATTCTTCTAAACTCTAGCGTTGTTTTTATTAGAAGTTGTTTTACGCTTTTGAAACGCCTGTTTTACGATTTTTTACGCCTTTAATAGTCAACACTGAACTTGGAAAATAAATTTTCCTCAAAAGAAAATAAATAAATTTAATGAATTATAAGGTACTATTGCTTAAACAATTTTTTTTGTTATCATTGCTTAGATATACTAAGCCTAGTAAGCATGAAATTATTTTTATAACAAAGAAATGAAAAAAAACACTGGATGGTGAACTTTAAAGTGTTCTGCCATCATTTAAGTAAACAGGAAATCACGATAATGTTATTATTCACTCACACATTCATAATCCTCTACAGAAAGAAAGGAAGTGTTATGAGCAAATAAAATGTAATGTGAAAATACTAGATTCGCAAATTTCCAAAAAAGTAAACAATTTTAGATCCGCAAATTTTGTTCATATATCATTTTGAAAGAATAATTGAATCAAATTTGGTTTTTGTGACGATTGAGCATTGCTTTATTTTCCTTATAGTTAAAGACTCGTATTCAGTGACGAATTTAGGCTTAGCCCCGCGAGGCCGGGCCTAGGGCGCCAAAATTTTCGAGGCGGTAAAAATTTGAAATCGATTTCGTTTTTATCAAGTGTAAGATCGAATTCTAATGCTTCTTTTCTTGCTTTGGCAACCTCAAGACGTCAATATTTAAAGGGTAGAATTATTTTTTAAAATAATTAATCGTGCAAGTAGTAAAATTTAAAATATCAATAAATAGGTACAAAAAAAATTTTCGTTAAATATAGCATTTATCGATTGACGTTAGATTTTTCAAAAAGTTGTCTTAAAAAATCTAAATGTAGCGTTTTGTTTGCTCGTCATTATAACACAAAATATTAATTCATCCCTATTTAATTATATCTCTGTCCAGTTACTCCAAAACTTGATTATTTTTCTTTTAATCTCGCATAAAAATTTAATAGTTTTACGTAATGTGAGGCATTTTTAAAGATTACCATGATCAATTTAGAAAGGTTGTACTAGAACTTGGAAAATCACAAAAATATAAATAAATAGGCCTCGAAACATAAATTAAATGAGTCAATTTATCTGATTAATAAAACAAATTGATAACTATTTTTAATAACATCGCAAAGAATAATTTTGAAATGGAATTCCAAATTATCATATTATGTATGAAGCTTTTCGTTTTATAATCAAGAAAATTATTTTTATGATTATATTTTTGTTGATGTGAAGCATTGTGTTCTAATAAAGAGCGTAATTTACGTCGTTTTTAAGCAGCATAATTGGATAGTAACAGCATATAGTGATTTTGGATAGAGATTTGGACAAATAGAGACGGTTTTGGATCGATCTGCAGAAAAATTCTCATGCATTGAAAAAAAACTTTGAATCAATTTTGACGAAGCTTTGATATATTTCGAAGTCACCATCTTTTGGATTAATCTTCTGCTTTTTTAGAGAAGTTTCTAAAGTGAGTAAGTTAATGATTTTTTTCTTTTTCAATTCCTATTATTAGCTCACACTCTCCCTATATATATCTTGTTCAAATTTTCAATCATTCATAAAATACTTTTTATTCATCCACTCAAGTTCAAATACATCTTTTTTTAACTTGTAGTGGATGACACTTGATGTTAATACACTTTTTTTCAAATATTAATTAATTCATTAAATTTAATCAATTAATTTTAATATTTTTAGATTTAAGTTGCATATATCTACCAATAGATGGCGCCAGATAAATTTAAAAAAATGAATAAAAATTAATTTATAAAGGACTTTCTGCAATATAATGATATTTAGCAGGATATAAATTTAGGAATAAATACCGTCAGTGGCGAAGCGTGTAGATCGCTGGAAATTTTTTTTTCTTTTTTTCATTCTGAGTTCTAGTCTCAATCAAGGAGGGAACAAAATGGAAAGTGAAACGTGAATAAATTAGTGAGAGAGAGAGTGAGAGAGAGAGAGAGAGAGAGAAAGTGTGTGTGAGAGAGAGAGAGAGAGAATTTTTTCCTTAAAAAAAATGAATGAAAATTATTTGTAAAAAAAACTTTTTGCAATATAGTGAAAAAAACGTAGGAATTGACTTAAAATTTTTTATTTTTTTTAATATTACTTGTTTCAGTCTTTTTTCATGCATGTTTCTTTGAAACTTTTCATTTACTTTTCAGCAGTTTCATTTGTTTTTAAACATCAAAGTCGTCGTAAAACGATTATTGATTTCTGTTTTTTACAAATTTTTAACCCCTTATTGCTCATTAAATTTATATTATTATGGTCTTTATAACAGGACTTCTCAAACTTTAAAGAGCTCACAGGGAGGGGAAAGGAGGGGGGTGATACTTCTATAAACCGTTTCAGATCCTTGTATTTATACCAAACGCGATGCATACCAAACGAGTTTTGCCCATAATAAATAATGGCAAAATAATTAATTCTTTCTTTTAGAAAAGACTTCATTCAATTCCTACTATTAGCTCACATTCTCCCTATATATATCTTGTTCAAATTTTTAATCGTTCATAAAATACTTTTTATTCATCCACTCAAGTTCAAATGCATTTTTTTGAACTTGTAGTGGATGACACTGATGTTAATACAGGTTTCTCAAATTCAGTAATTACATTTAATTACATATTTTTAGTTTTTTTTAGAATTAAGTTGCATATATCTACCAATAGATGGAGCCAGATAACCTTAAAAAATGAATGAAAATTATTTGTAAAAGGACTTTCTGCAATAGAGTGAAAAAAAAAGTAGGAATTGACTTTAAAAAAATTTTTTTTTATATTACTTGTTCTGTAGGAAGTAATGACAAGCCGTATAGTTTCATAATATGTAGCTGAACTAACGTATTCATATCTATTGGTGGAGATCTTTTGAAAAACAGCGGCGAAGGGCACGATCTCTGAATACACCATCGGTTGGAGCTCCCTTGTTACTAGAGTATTTGGTTTACAATTTGTCATTGATTTGTTAATTAGTGATTTAATTAAACTAGAGGAACTCGGAGATTAATAAATTAATTGAACTGAGGAACATAGTCATTAAATAAATTAATGAACTGAGTCACTGAACTGAGGAACATAGTCATTAAATAAATTAATTGAAAGGAGCATTAGTAACTAAATAAATTAATTGAACTGAGGAACATATCCACTAAATAAATTAATTGAACTGAGGAACATAGTCACTAAATAAAATTAATTGAACTGAGGAACATAATCACTAAATAAATTAAGTGAACTGATGAACATAGTCACTAAATAAATTAATGGAACTGATGATCATG